TCGTCTCTCTGATAGCATGCATCACACTGTGTGTTGTCCGTGCCAACGTACATGTCCCCCCTCCCCCACCATTTTGTTCTTTCTGAACCTGGGAGATGCCTTACAGGTCATGGTGGTTTACCATTAATGGTGCAGACTACAATGGGTGGGATTTTAGATTTGATGAAACTCAGTAAGAACTTGTTTGCAGAAACCTTGTGTCTGATAGCCATCTCTGTCACTAGAGTGTAAGTGGCCTGAGAACAGGGGCAGGGGCTTGTTTGTTCGCCCCGCACCCACATGGCACCAGCAGCTCACAAAGTATTGGTGGACTGAATGAATGGGCAGAGGGTAGTTTTAGGGATCCTGCGTTTACCCCTCTCACTGTTTTAATTTACTGGGGTTTGACAAGTTCATGTTCTTCTTTGACTCTGTACCCTATAGGGCTCTGGCAGTTTGCCCTCTACCCCCTTCATCTTTGGTAGAAGGAAGAGATTTTCCCAGCTCAGTGTGTCTTCATGTGGAAACCGCATCCTTCTCTAGACCACTTTAGTCTGTCATCTCTGGGCCTTTTGCGGTTGTCTGCATGCTCGCTCTCCTTTCTGATCATTTCCTGTGTTGTGTTCATACTTGTGGATCGCCGTAGCCTGTGGGCCTCTCATTTAGGAAGAATAGTCTTCTGTGTCCTTTAAATACTGCTTTAAGGGGCACCTGGGTGGCTCAGTTGGTTAAGTGTCCGACTTCAGCTCAGGTCATGATCTCATGGTTCATGACTTCGAGCCCCGCGTCGGGCTCTGTGCTGACAACTAGCTCAGAGTCTGGAGCCTGTTTCAGATTCTGTATCTCCCTGTCTCTCTGACCCTCCCTGCTCATGCTGTCTGTCTCTCTCTCTCAAAAATAAATATAAAACATTTAAAAAATTAGAAATACTGCTTTAAAAAATTGTGCTTTGTAGATATCGAGGGTCGTCTGAAAGTGTGTGGAGCTCTGCGGGACAGTTTAGAGATCACATACAGTTGCTTTTGTGATAATTATTTCTTCCCGTCCTTAGTTTGTCCTCTCTCTATGTTACTTATATGCTGCATTTCATTCAGTACGATTGAATTGATTCACTCATACAATAAAGGATCCCGCCCAAAGTAGAATGTAGAGTGTAGATCTTGCTTCTTCTTTCTTGAAAGCATATTACCTTTACTTTGAGGTGTCCTGGAAAAGGAAATAATAAGACAGGGCACCGTTTTATTCCCACCATCTGCACCGTTCTTCCCTCTTACTATTATCTTTACCTCTGATCCCAGGTATCCTAGATGATTATACAGACTGGTATAAATTTTTATCACCGTGTTAACATTGATCATTAGAGTTAAATTCTTTTGCTCCCCTATTCTCGTGCTTAAAATGAAGGTGAGGCAACTATAACCATTTTTGCAAATTAGTCTGTTAGGTTGTTTTTCAGGAGAAGTAAAAAGTCAGAATCCATGATCTATACTTAGAGTATTCTTTACGTTAATTTCCCCCAAGGGCATTATATTCCTCTTTCCAATAGTGGGGCTTCTGGCTGGTGATCCTGTCCTCATGCATGTTGAAGACGTCTTCATTCAACAGGCTTTCCACTGTGCCTTCCTGTTAGTGTGGCATTTCCCAACCTGCAAGAGCTTAGTGTTGCCTGAAAATGTGGGGGTCCTCCTGTGCTTTCTCTCTTCTGGATTAGTTACAAATGGGCTACACAAAATGGGCTCTACCCTGATCTCTGATGCTGCTGCCATTATAATTATTATTTTTTGACTAAAAAGCTACCGAAACATTCCTCCTTGTCTTGCAGTACCTATTTAAAGAGTAACGTTGGGGGCCCCTGGGTGGCTCTGTTCATGGGATTGAGCCCCACTTTGGGATCTATGCTGATAGCACAGAGCCTGCTTGGGATTCTCTCTTTCTCTATCTCTCTCTGCCCCTTCTGTGCTTGCCTTTTCACTCTCTCTCTTTCTCAAAATAGATAAACATTAGGGACTTCTGGGTAGCTAAGTCAGTTAGTGTCTCGCTTCAGCTAGGTCACAATCTCACGGTTCGTGAGTTCGAGCCCCACATCGGGCTCTGCATTGATCGCTCAGAGCCTGGAGCCTGCTTTGGATTCTGTGTCTCCCTCTCTCTCTCTCTCTGCCCCTTCCCCGCTCATGCTCATTCTCTCTCAAAAATAAACAAACACTAAAATAATTAAATAAGTAAATGAACATAAAAAGAGTAACAGTCTATGTGAATAGATTTTTTTCAAAAGTCGGAAACATATGGACAGATGTGATATGGATCATACACCTCTGCCTCAGAAGTCGAAATTACGTGTAAATATTTATATATAACATACAGACAGACAAAAATGTATATAGTTATGTATCAGTATGTTTATAGTGTGTATGCATATATGACATATATGCTTATGTTTATAATGTATTTACATACATGCCAAACACTCGACTACGTATAAAATGCTCTTTTTACTTTTGAAACACAGCTGGTGAGCAGTGACAGTCTAGGAGTATGGCTAGAAAAAAACGTCTTGGCAGTTTGAAGGCTAAAGCTTGCAGCTCAGCTGTGTCCTCTGCATATGTGACCCTGGCCAAGTGACAGTGCCAGGCCTTCTGGGGCTTTAGCATTTTTTATTTGTAGTAAGAGAAGGTTGCATTAAATCAGTGATTCTCGAACCTGAATGTACATTAGAAGCACTTGGGGGAGCCTCTAAAATGCAGATGCTGAGGCCCTCCCAAGAGACAGTGATTTAATTTTTATTTACTTTTTAAGCTTCTTTTATTTATTTATTTGAGAGAGAGAGCAGGGAGAGGCAGAAAGAGAGGGGGAGAGAGAGAGACTCCCAAGTACTGCCAGCACGCTGCCAGTACAGAGCCTACTGTGGGGCTCGAACTCATGAAGTGTGAGATCATAACCCGAGTCAGATGCTTAACCAACTCAGGCCACCTTTGTGCCTCTGAGACTTAATTTTTTAAAAGCCTCCCCTGTGAGTGTAATGTGCATTCAACTACACAGATGTCTTCCCAGATCTATAAGTCTCTTGCTTCATTTTCCCTTCCTGATGGGCTTTGCTGACAGCCCCGTACACAGAGCCATTCCCTTTATTGGATTCGTGTAATGGCTGTGATTAGGCAGAACACTGTCTGGGTTGGAAAGCCCTTAGTGGCAGCATGCCATCCCCACGTGTCTCCACATATGGCATCTCCCTGTTGCCTCAAGCACGGAGCCTCCCGGTAGCCACAGTCCACGGCCACTTGCTCTTTGTAGTCAAGCACGCTTGAGTTCACATGCTATGTCAGCATCTCAGTGATGGTCTGACGGAAGGATTAGAGCCCCCACTTCTGTATGTCCTTCCCTGTGTCCTTGAACCAGTGGCCAAGGACCATAGGTTACTTCCCATCACCAATCTTTTTGCCTGTCAACCTCTTCAGATTTCTTGGCCTCTGATTTTCTTCTCTTGGCCACCCTGTGACCTTTAATCTCTTTGACCCCTGAAAGAACCAATTCATACATTGTATTGACACAGTAGTTACTTAAAACAAGAGTAGTTGTTTTAAAACCTATTCTGATCACTTCCCAATCTGTGGGTGCCCCAGGGATCTGGATTATTAACGTCATAACAACTTAAAGAAAAACAGATGTCACATGTATTAGGTTTCCTTCCTCAAAAATATTTCTTCTGGTTCCTTTCCCACCATTCCAGTTTACATCCATCTTCCTTCATTCCAAACTGTCTTCCCTAAAATAACAGTAATGGTGGTCATCATTGATGGATACTTCTATTATTGCATTTATGTGCCGTAACAGGGGGTATAAAGATGAAGCCAGTGCTCCTGGGCCTCAACATCTGTGGCGTGGTTGCTGTGGCATCTTCTAAAACCTATCTGTGCATTAACCGACTCAGTCCATTGGGTGACCATTTCACATCTTATTGAGGACGCAGTTGTAGATTTCAGTGTTTCGTACTTGACAGTGGTCGTGAGGCTGTTAAAGAGTGCAGTTAAAATGGAGGCTGTCTCATCCACTTAGCCCGGCCATGGTTACTTTTAGGATTGTGACTCACACTGCCCTCATCTTATAGACAGAGAAGCTGAGGCACAGGGAGGCTGTGAATAACTTGCCTGAGATCACTAAGCTAATACCACGTAGAGTCTGGATTCGAACCTAGGTCCTCCCAATCCCAAACCCAGGTTGCCAGCACCATGCTGTATTGCCTTGCGCTCTGACCTCATCCACAGGACCCTGTCTGTAATCACACCTGGCTCAGACCCTCCCTGAACCCTTTTTTCTTGCTATTTCTGTACAGAAACGGTCAGTGTCTGTTTCCTAGGCAAGATGTCTTTATTTATTTGTTTGTTTATTTATTTGGACCTTCAAGAGCCTCTGAGGTCTACCTCTTTATTCCCATGGGGTTGAGACCCATGCCACCATGCCATTTGGTCAGCTTATCTCCCTCACCGTCCCCACCAAGGTGCCAGACTATCGTCTCTAGGTCTTGTTCACCTGGTTCCTCTCATCTTTCAGCCAGTTTTTCTGGACTGTGCCATGCTGGCAAGGTTCGATGAAAGGCCTCAAATCTTGAGGGGCCGAAACTATCTTCTCACACATTGCTCAAGTTTGTCCCCTTGGGCAGCCCCCCTCCCACTCTGTCCCCCCCTCCTCCTTTTTTTGCCGTTGTTCCTTCTGAAGTCTCTCCGTGCCTAGGGTGCAGTGTGGAGCCTCCTTATGGAGTCTTTATGTCTCAACTTGCAAGTGAACTCTGTGCGGTGAAGACGATGTGTAAACGGTCTATGGATATATATGCTTAACAAAGAGGCACTGAGTGAGATAGGAGTTTGTGATCTGAATGCTTCCTTTCCCCCTCATGTCAAGTTAGTTGTGAGTCTAGAGAAACAAATGTTGAAAATGGTGATGTCTAGGAATTTCTAGAAGCCTGTGTAATGGTGCTTAGGGGAAAGGCTAACAGAACTGACCTTCTGGCGCTCTTCTTGTCCCCCCAGTAAATGTCCCCTCCACGGTCATGGAGGCCATGTGCAGACAGGACGCATTACAGCCTTTCAGCAAGAGCAACAAGCTGCCGCCAGCCGCCCAGCAGCGCTCCGTGGTTTTCCCCCAGACTCCGTGCAGCAGGAACTTCTCCCTCCTGGATAAGTCTGGGCCCATGGAGTCAGGATTTAACCAAATCAACGTGAAAAACCAGCGCGTCCTTGCAAGCCCCACCTCCACGAGCCAGCTCCACTCGGAGTTCAGTGACTGGCACCTTTGGAAATGCGGGCAGTGCTTTAAGACTTTCACGCAGCGGATCCTCTTACAGATGCACGTGTGCACGCAGAACCCCGACAGGTAACCCCAACTCTCCATCGCTCCCCTCGTGTATGCTCAGTGGGCCCCTCTGCCTGCCTCGCTCCAGGCCCCGGGCACCTCCTGCAGCCACCTGCCCTGAGAGGGGTGCGTGCACATTCTGGAAGGTCAGAGATTAATGGCGGGGCCGCTGCTGGGCTTGCTATTGTTTAGCTGGGCTACGGGAACAGCAAAGGTTGCAGGGAGGGACCTTGCTCTGGCTTTCCAGATGGTTCTGTCCGGGTCTAACGGGGAGCCAAGTGGACGGCACATGTATGAATATCCTAGATGGAAAAATGAGGTCAGGAGCATTAGAATCCTCTCTGTCTTCCTAAGATAATATAGCTGACTGCCTTGCTTGCTGTCACAGGCATTTCAGGGTTCACCTCCAGTGTGCCGTGGGTATGAACTTAATTAAGTACTAAGAGGTAATGAATTGGAATTTTTTGCTTAGTACTATTTTTCTTCAGAGCGTGCAAACCCATAAATCCTGCAAAGCTGTCAAAAGGAAATACCTACTCTGCTAGTGATGTGGAGGAAAACAGATGCCACTTATTCAATAAACTAATATCCACACAGAAGAAAAATGTTGACCAGATACCTCAGAGTCAAAGTTGGTTTGAAAGTTTGTCAATAAAGAATTTTATGGCCATGAACTGAGGATGAAATTTAGCTGAACAAGTGAATTAAAATTTCAGGTGCTTTGACGAGTGGCACAGTAGATATAATGGAACTATTATTTATGAATCAAAACTGGTTTATTCGACAGTCTTGAGAGCTGGGAGCGCAAAAGACAAAAATCAAAATAATTCAGTACGAAAGGACCGTGCCTTCTCTCCCTGGCGCGTCCTGTGAAGATTTGATTAAACCCCAAATGTCTAAGAGTAGCCTGGAAAATGCGCTTTGAATATAAAATAAAATAAAACAAAACATAGAAAATGCTTTGGGGGGAAAGAAGAGAGGGGGTTGGAAGCAAGGCTTCTTAATATGTTCTTCATTTGGCCACTGAGTAATCTTAAGCCCTCTGTTCTCTTTGGCTTAGGTGACCCACCTAGCTGTCCCCTCCCAGCTGAGCAGGGTATGACAGCATGCTAGAGAATCTGGCAGGGACACAGAGGGTGCAGATGTGCTGGGAAGGGGGTGGATGTTTTCTCAAATAATAACAAGCACCCCTTTCAACGTGCCTAGGCACGTTTACATGTGTCTATGTTCTTTATTTGTGCCTTTCTAGAAACCCCTTGCCAAGCATCAAGCATTGCTGTAATCAGTTAATGTTGAAAAGTTTGCATTAGAGCTGTTAAGGCAGCTGGGCCTTTCCAGTGTTTTACACTTTCCCAGGAGAGAAAGTATCTCGCATTAATGCTTTGGGCTTTAGAGGTGACAACAAAAGTTGTGCGAATGTTTTCCTCACTCAGGAAGGGTTTTCTTTGAAAGTATCTCCCTCTCGCAAGTGTACGTAGAGCTTCAAGGTGCATCTCTTCCAAATTTGCAATGCATTTTGGTAGTTTTCAAGTCTAAAAGAGGCATTAAATTGTGTTACTAGAAACTTGGCATTCAGATGCATGCGTCTGTTATTGGCACAGGTACATTGCGGTCGTAATAAATCAATATGCAGGGTAAAAAATCAAACAATAGTCTAGATAGTTTCTGGACCCTGGAATGCAAGGCTTAGCTTTGAGTCTGATATGATTTCATGCTGAATATCGAATAAAACAATGAGAATATGTGACTGCAAATGGAGACTGAAACAGACTATTTCACCTGACCCCAGTGACACTTAGAAAACCCTATGTATATTATGGTTTAAGTCCCTGTGAAGTCTGTGCCATTAAATAATATTATCCTAATTTGTGAAACATCTATGTAAACTGTCAGAAAAATACCTGATACATTCAGTAGACTTACATACACCAGATCCATTTCCAGGAGGGACTGTTGGGTGAGTGCTGATTCATTTAATTTAGAGTTACTGGAAGAAATCCAAATGGCATGAGTTTTCCATTCTGGGGTAGACCCTGCTGGGCTTAGTGGACTCAGTTGCCCAGGTGTGGTGTGGCCAGGCCTTCCCTGATGACGTGTGCGGATGGGTGCTTGTTACCCAGGTCGATAGCCAGGGTCAGACCAGATGACTCAAGAAGTATGTTCTTTTCTCTCTTCTTTGCTTTGTCAGTGAACACTTCAGACGTAGTCACTACCATTGATGAATACGTTGAATTTAAGAATTAGGACTTCAGAAACATTAGGCCCTTTCTAGGCGAAGTAATGATGGGGAAGTGCTTAAATTACTGCATCGTGTCCAGACTGATGACTGGGGATTTGGGGCAAATAGTGGAAGATACCCACTCCCTGTGATGCACTAGTTTCTTTCTAGGCAGTGAATTTGCTTTTTGCAGAAAGTACTGGAATAGCTCGTTTCTGTTGTAGGATCTAGAATGCTGTCTTTGTACCAGCAAGTTTGGAAGTAGAAGATATTCTCCATGATTCTTAACCACATGAGTGAATTGCCAGATAAGAGGAAGAACTCAGTTGGGGTATCAGCTGTGTATCTGATGGTTGTGAAATTTGGAGCTTTCCCTCTTATTTTCCATGTGGAGAATTACGGCTGCTGAGTGTACATATTTTCTTCAGTTATTGACTCCATAAATCAGCCAGCTTTCCATCTTTGGCAGTTTGCAGGCATTCAGCCGTATACAGCGATAAAGCTTCAAACCTGCCGGTCAGAAACCATTTCTCGTCTCTTTGAAAAACTCACACACTGTTATTTTGATAGGAAAATCGTGCTAGGAAACCAGAGGCCAAAGAGAGAGACACCGAAGACAAAGTCAGAAGGTAAACAGGTTAGAGTTTCACATGCGTCCAAATTTGAAACAGGCCCCCGAATCCAAGGTCCAAGAGATTTTTCACTCAACAGACTGAATAGTTGGCCGTGAAACCCAAGCCATCTGAACCTTCATCAAAGAGACTCTGTGTGACTGTGTCCATGAGCTTTTCCATGGGAGAGACCATCAAAAAGTCTCTGCCTTGGTATAAAGGAAAAAGATCCAGGGACGCTTAGGTTGCCAGATGACCATTTTTCACAACCATGCTGTTTACACTAAATTCAGAAATCCCCTGTGACCTGGGCCAGGTAAGAATTAGCACTCAAGATTAAAACACATCCATGGGGGTCTGGGAGCCAAGGGAGTGTTCTTTCTTGATTTCCTGCTGTTAGTGCTAAGCAAATAGACCCCCAATTCTTTTTTTCCTTTTTCCCAGGCTCCCGACTTTTCTGTACCCCGAGTGGATTCCTAAGGAAGAAGCTGTTAGGACCTCCACCATGCATCTATTTAGGAACTTCATAAACACTAAGGGTTTTGCATTAGTGTCTGAGCTAGGCCAGGGCAACTGAAATCCCTTTTGCTTGAACCAGGAGTTAGAAATCCCTTTTCTCTTCTGTTTTTCTGCTGCAGAAACCCTCAACAGTCCCACTGGGGGGGCTCCAGAAAGGGGTAAGCAAAGCCTTCAATCTCAGCGGATCATTTTCTGATGAACGTGTCTTTCATTGTCTGCAGAAAGTGTCTTTCTAATGTGTATCTTTATGTTGCATCCTTTTCCCTTCCCTTCCCTTCCCTTCCCTTCCCTTCCCTTCCCTTCCCTTCCCCTTCCCCTTCCCCTTCCCCTTCCCCTTCCCCTTCCCCTTCCCCTTCCCCTTCCCCTTCCCCTTTCCTTTTTTCCTTTCCCTTCCTTTCTTGTGGCACATGTTTGCCTTTTAGCCTCCTGGGTGCGCCATCAGCTGCTCATATTTGTGTTGCTTTGAGCATCATTGTTTGTAACTGGATGTGGTGGTACCAGAGGGGAAGGTGACCCCAGAAGGTGCTCTTTGGTGGGAGGAGCCTGGAGATGACCATGTGTTTTCAGTGTGTCTGTGTTCTTGTGTTCCACTGTCCCCTTCCCCACATGTTCTTTCCAGGGTTCCGTGTTCTCCAGGCCCTGCACTTGCGCCGCTTCCCTGCAGTCCTTCCCTCCTTACATACAGCTGCGTACTTTTCTCTCCCCGCACGGCCAGCAGTCACCTAAGTAGCGCTCCCTTTGAAGTTCTGGAAGATGTGCACGTGGGCGGACTGACGCGGGGGATGGAGAGTACGTGGCCCCAGCCGAACAAGCTTTGTCCTGGAGGCTTTCATACCATGAACGAAAAAAAAAAATCAAAGGATTAATATTGTAAACCAGACCACACTTAATTTTGTTAAATGCTTCATCCTTTTTCTCTGTGTACACCAAACTGATCACAGACCCAAAGCAAATGAATTGCACATTTCACTGGAGTCATGTTTGGTGGAGACGCTGCCAGTTACAGAGAATGACAGGGGATGTACAGGATTGTCTGGCCGCTTGCTTTCTGCTTAAACGTATACCAGCATCGAGAGATCCCAACTAACTTGACCTAGGCTTTGTCTAGTTTTCAGTTACTTTTAAAAAAATATTTACTTAATTTGGGGAGAGCACAAGTAGGGGAGGGGCAGAGGGGGACCGGGAAGACAATTGGAAGAGGGCTCTGTGCTGATAGGCTGACAGCAGCGAGTCCGATATGGGGCTCGAACTCTAGAATCAGGAGATCATGACCTGAGCTGAAGTCAGACGCTCAACCAAGGGAGCCACCCAGGTGCTCCTGGTTTTTAGTTACTTTGTTACCAAGTATCTTATACCATACTCTGGTTTTTCATGAAGCTTTGATATTTCTGCACAGAAACTAGTCACACACGAAGCTATTTAAGTTTAAAGAAATCAAAATGAGGTAAAATAGTACATCCAGTTCTCAGTCACCCTGATGACATTTAAGGAGCTGAACAACTTCAGGTGGCTCATGGCTCCCATATTGGATAGTGTCATTCGAGGCGGCTCATGGCCCCCATATTGGATAGTGTCATTCGAGGTGGCTCATGGCTTCCATATTGGATAGTGTAATTTGAGGCAGCTCATGGGTCCCATATTGGATAGTGTAGATAAAGAACATTTTTAGCATCAGACAACACTGCTAGATATCTCCAGTAGTGTGGGGGGCGGGGGAAGCCCATAAGCTTCTTCTGGTTGTGAAATGTCATCACTTTGTGAGGAATGCTAGTTGTGTTTATTTTCAGAATAATGAAATGGCATCTGTGTTTGATGATTTGGGGGAGAATCAGAGTGCTTTCTTAGAAAGGAGATTCCCATTTAGCTGTTGAGTCACATAAGATCCTGGGAAGGGGAGCGCTAAACACAGTACTTGATGATGTCATTCCTGACAGTAGGACACATCACAGGGAGAAAGAACTTTGGAGTTGAAATTGATTGGATCCAAATGTTTAGTAAAGGAAGCCTCATCTTTTGGCCAGACCTTGACAAGTTTACGAGAATGTTAGTCATCAGAATAAAAAACAGAGTAATGGCAACAAATTCTGTGCCCTCAAATTACTTCCATTGTAAACTGTGAGTCTTCACTCCTGTGGCCAGTTATTCCAAAGAAGATTCTATAGTGGTACTAGTGTTTTCTAAGACCCACCCTTGGACTTGGGGATTTCATTCTGTTTTGAATGTATGCCTGCATCCTTAAGTGAAACCCTATGATGCAGTCAATGTTAAAATTACTTTTGGATCTTTTCCTTTCATTTTTTTTTTTAGAAGTCATGAAAATCCAGGAAAAGAAAGAATCTTGTCTGCTTGCTGTATAACTTCTGTACTTTCTGACGGCTAACTTCCTATACATTTCTAGGCGGAGAGAGCCAATCTGGTATCATAGTGGCAAGTAGAATACACATTTTAGTTCTGTAGTCTCCATACATAAATTCAGCTTCTGCAAAAATGACTATAAGCATCTGGTATAAAATCTTACTCTTCAAGATACCTAAGAATAAAAGGAGATCGCTTTGTTTCTTGAGATCAGTTAAAGTAAGGTTGGGTTCTGCATTTTGGTACTAGATTTTCTTGTTACCCTGAATTCTCAACTGTTTACCAAATAAGATTAAATGGTTCGTGGGGCGCCTGGGTGGCCCAGTCAGTTAAGCGTCCAACTTCAGCTCAGCTCATGATCTTATAGTTTGTGGGTTCAAGCCCTGCGTCGGGCTCTGTGCTGATAGCCAGCTCAGAGCCTGGAGCCTGCTTCAGATTCTGTGTCTCCCTCTCTCTCTGACCCTCCCCTGCCCACACTGTCTGTCGTCTGTCTGTCTCTCTCTCTCTCTCAGAAGTAAATAAAACATTAAAAAAAAAAAAAGATTAAGAGGTTTGTATTCTCATCAGTATGTATACTCACACATACAACCATAGCAGGCTCTGTGTGCGGGGAACTGGCTGGTGCACACAATGGAAGATGGACGTCCTATTGTTGATGCTGCATCTTATGGGGCTGTGTCTTGGGCAGGTTCTTAGGCAGCACATGTTGGTTACTTGCCTGGAAGCAGGACCAGAGCATGATGGGACGCTAGAGACAAGCTAGATCAGTACGTCCCTCGTCCGTCTTAGCAGAGAGATGAAGGAACAATCAGGCTGTTGACTTGTCAAAGCCCCACAGCTGACTCAGGCTAGAGGCTGAAGGAGGACTCCCCTTTTCTGCTTTCCCTGTTGTCTAGACCCTTCCATTCAGTCAAGATAAATTCCACAAAGTTTGGAAAGCTGTGCCCTTAGGTCACTGGATGCATAGCCCATGCCTCTGAGGCCATAGTATTGGGCACAATGGATGTGTTAGAATTCTAGTTGTCTTTCCTTGGCGTTACCTTGATAATAGAATTCAAGATAAGCCTCCCCATGGTCATTTCTGCCCTTCTGTGTGTAAATCTTTGCGACTGTGATGATTAACATAAGGACAGATTGACTTCTGACTGTAGGAAATAAATCACCCCAACTTTTGACAGCAGAGTTAGAAAAAAAAAAAAAAAAGAAAAAGAAAAGATGAATTGGCTTTATTTAGTGGCTTATTGTTTACTGTGATAGCTATTAAAAATAGATAACCAGAGGCTAATAACTGTTAATGGTCCCTTCACTTTTAGAAAAATCAATTGTCAGTGGATATAGCATATATTAATAAATTATTTTGTTTGTAATCTTCAATAACAGTTTAAAAAGTTCACTCCTGAGAGAATGATTTCCTGGAGAACACTTTAAGGTTAGCAGTTACTACAAAGAACAGATTCGTCAGGTGGACATTTTCACTTACATATCATTTTAATAGCTTTCAAAGCCGTATTTAATAATTGTAATAAAATGCACAAGTAATTTATCAAGACTGATAAACTCCTTTACCAAGGACGCTTATATATATTTTTTGAAACTTGTTCGAGAGCCGTTAAATAGATTTCTAAATGTAAGTAATTAAAATTGTATAGTATTGAGTTATTGACCCATCCCGGACTATTAATCAAGCTAAAAAATTCTACAATCAGTGCTCAGCATGCTGAAGCCTGGTAAAATAATAGTATTTGTGTTCAGTGAGGCAAGTAGCCACAATTAAGCACTTCACTTGACAAATGAGAGGGTACACTTTATTTTGCACTTAATTGAATTGTTGTACATGCTCGCTCACCATTGTCTCCTTGCCCTTCATTTTGGTTTCTGGTCTTTGGAGATTATGCATTTGTGGGAGCTAGAGCAATTAAACCTGTTTTTGCCATTGGCTTTCAAAATGCAGCCAGAAACGTCAGGGCCCCAAAGCAGGGGCTTCGTAAGTGCTGTTCATATCCCTCATGACAGATGATTACTCTTCTTAACAAAAATTTTGATAACCAAATTAGAGCCCCGTCAGAGGAGGATATGAACTAGCTTTGAGTGGGGAAGACTCCCCAGGTTTTCTCTTACTCACCAGGCTCTGCCTAAGGAAGCCGTAGAACTTCGGGAGCGAGGACAGAATTTTAATCTCTTTTATGAAAACCCTAAAGTGATTTACTTCTCATGAGCTGGAAAGCCTGTTCTCAGATAATCTTGCTAATTATCAGGTATTTGTCACACCTTCCTTCCATTGGCTTTCCCATCACCGTTCTCCCTCTGTGGACAGAGTGACATCCGTCATTTCGGTGCTGTTTAATCGTTGCTTGCCACAAATTCAACTGGGACGCTGAAGTTTAAGAAGACCCACTGTAGATAAATATTAGTGGATGTGTGTGGGGTGTGCTGGTGTCAAGAGAAAGTACCAGTCGGGACTTCCATCACAGAGACAGATTGGGGTGCACAGCGGTGCTGGTGTGCTGTCAGATGCCCCCACTGGGAGACCCCAAGGCAGTTGAGTATGGAAACACACAAGCAGCTTGCCGCCTTCTCTGCATGTTTACCTCAGAATAAAGTCCTAACCCCGTACAGTGACCTTGGCATTGGAGTGTATTTCCTAGGAGGATAGTTGATCCTGAGTTTTCTGAACGGACAGAGATATTAGCAGATGCTTTCCCTACGCTGAGGATTATGGTGAAGATTAAACTAGATAATTGAGTGTTAAGCACTTGGAAAAGTTAAAAGTGCCACGGAATTATGAGAGACAATTCCATTATCTTCTCTGTAACATTTCTGCTTAATCACACCCGTACCCTCCGTGCTCCCCAAAGCGCCCCAATGTTTGTCTCGGGTTGGGGGAAAAACAAGCCAAGTGAGGGTTCTTGAACCGGGATGGTTGAAACTGACAAGGAATATTTGGGAGTTGAGGTGTTTCGGAAGTCCCGTGAATTGTGTTCCAGGGCCACGCATACGATTTTGGGGACCCAGCTGCCAGAGCCTTCGCGGTGGTTTTAAAACCTGAGAAAATGCCAGTGGGGAGTCTTGGCCCTGGCCTTCTGATGCTGATTTCTGCGGACTGACACAGACAGCAATGACCAGGCAGTCTCTTTGTTTGTTTCAGACCTTACCAGTGTGGTCACTGCTCGCAGTCCTTTTCACAGCCGTCAGAGCTGAGGAACCACGTGGTCACTCACTCCAGTGACCGGCCCTTCAAGTGCGGCTACTGTGGTCGTGCCTTTGCCGGGGCCACCACCCTCAACAACCACATCCGAACCCACACTGGAGAGAAGCCCTTCAAGTGAGTAGAGCCTAACCCTTCACCCCTCTTTCCTCCTAGCCTTTTCCAAGGGCCAGCAGAGAGGCTGGCACCGTGCTGCTCGGCTCAGCCACTGGCGGGAGAAGGCTCTGGAAGGTCAGCATCCAGGATCCAAGAGGACCTCCTTGTTTGGTGGTTGGCATTTAGAGGATGACAGCAGGAAGCCTAGACCCTGATCTTGACTCAGGCTGTGTAGCCATGGCCACAAGATGATCTTTCTGGGTCTCTTTCCTCATCAGTAAATAAGGGAGAAGGAGTAAGTCATTTTAAGACGCTAGTTCCTAGGGGCACCCAGGTGGCTCAGTTGGTTACACGTCTGACTGGCTCAGGCCATGGTCATGCAGTTTGTGGGTACACCATGCTATGTACTAGCAGCGTCAGGCTCCGTGCTGACAGGTCACAGCCTGGAGCCTGCTTCAGATTCTGTGTCTCCCTCTTTCTTAGCCCCTCCCGCACTTGTGCTCGCTCTCTCTCTCTCTCTCTCTCTCTCTCAAAAATAAACATTAAAAGAAAAAGATTCTAGTTCCTGAGGCTCTGTACTTCTAGAATTTAAGCTGAGAGCCCCTGCATAGTGTCATCTTTTGGCCCCCAGCAAGCTTGTGACCATCGGTGAGGTAACCCTGCTTTAGGACATCTAAATAGTGGTCTTGTGGAGAACTTGAAGGTTTTAGGATTCTGGTGAACTATTTCCTCCTCTTCCCCGTCTGTTAAACTGATTTGAATCCGTGACAACAGCCGACCTGTGGCCTTTCCGTAGGCTCTTTGGTCTTTGAATTACCGTGTTGGTGAAACAAAACAAAATAGAGCCAAATACTGGGCACGTCTGAATTCTTGAGGATTCAGAGAACATGGGAAAAGGTGAGCGTGAATTCCGAGGGGTTTGGCAAGGTAAGAGCACCTGAGTGAAAGACTCTTGCTACATCTAGCACAGTCCTGAGAAAAGTGGACATATGAATGACATCAAGATGACCTGTTCATTCACTCACTCAGTCATTCAGTCATTCATTTATCCATGTATGTGTTCATTCCTTCAGCACATACCTACTGAACATCTTCTGTACTAGGCACCCAGCTAGTTGCAAAAGATAGAGAGTTGAATGAGTCTCCACCTCCCAGATCTTTGAAAACCACATAATTTATGGGTGACGCCTAGGTAATAAATAAGGATGATAACGCAGGGTGGAGACTGCAAAAGTGAAGAGCAGTAAGACTTGTATATACAGGTCTGCAAGGTAGCATAGGAGTGCTGTCTGGGAGGGATGATGTTTAAGATATGTTTTGAAGGATGAGTAGGAGTTTTCCAGACATACAGAGGAAAGCGGTATTTCTGGCAGCCCCAGCAGCAGGTGGAAAGGCTTGGGAGTATGAACTAGCGCGTTTGTCTTGGCCTGGTCTGTTGCCTCAAAGCAACTTCACCCGTCTGTGTGATGAATTCTTCTGTCCAGCCCTCTCCATCTCTACTCATTTGCTGCACTGGCTTTCCCTGGTTAAGCAGGAAAATTAAAAGGACTTAGATGTACAGACTATTTACTTTGTGTAGGACAAGATCAACCCAGAAGGGAAATAATTCAAGCAGTAGGTGATGAATCTTGCTCAATCTCAGCCAAGGAGTCTTTGTAGGGTCTCATTACCCATAATTTTCCTTTTGGACCCACTGGCGCGGTATGCCATTGCCATGGTGCTTGGCCCGAGGCTGAGCTTGTCTCACGGTAGCAGAGTCCAGCTCGCCTGGGTCCTGCCTGCCTTGGTGTCTGCCGTCAGAGGGAGGAACTCATCAAAGCCGGTCATCCTTGCTTACCTCTCTATGAATTAGTTACCTTTATTCATCATCCTTAACTCGTTTTCATCCTGGTTTAGTTTATGATATACATGAATAATAAAAATAGTTTTAATTGTTGTCCGTGTACCTAGGTGTGTCTTGTTCACTGTGCAAAAGCATCTGGCTAAGGGGGACAGGAAGAGATCTAAAGTCAGGTCTCCATGGCCCCAGCCAAGCTGCACCCTCTGGGGCTCTGATTGCCCAAAGGGACCACTTTTCCTTCTAATTGACCCTAAGGGCCAGTGGTTAGCACAGGTTCTAGGGTTTGGTGAACTCTGTCATCACCCTGCGTCCTGACCCCTCAACATAGTTCGCACATTCTGGCTTGATCACTGCCCTGGATGTGGACGATGACGGTAGCACATTTCCAGTGCCTTTGAGCAAGAGAGCTTTGCAAAACCAAAGATGCAGGATTGACGATCCTTCCGGCCCCTTACATTAGAGAGGGCAGCCAGACAGACACAGTGCCAGGAATCAGATTGATTTTTATCTTGTTGCTGTGTAAATAGATTTTAGTAATTAATTGAAGAGGTTTCAGGGTCAAAATGCGAAATAGATTTCTATTAATGTTAAGGTGTTACTTATGTGTAACCTTGTTGACTCCACTCAGTTTTTTTTCTCTAACATCCTGTTTTTGTCATGTTGCCAATAGAGTTGCCATTTTAACTTACTTTCAATTCATCAGGTTAATATTTGAGGGGCTTTCATGATTGTATCATTTACTTTTCCAAAAGTATGTTTTTGTGACGATCACGTAATGTCATCTGGGAAGCAAATTACGAAAACCACGAGAGTTAGTTGGATTAGATTCTATGTGCATGTTTTAGTTCATTTTGCTTTTACTTTTACTGGGATGATAGCTACATGCTATATGTTGGGTTGGGTGGTGTTTTATTTTGTTTTTTAGTTCATCAAATCTATATTCCCAGGGGAGAACTGAATGTACGCTGTTTTTAATAGTGCAAGATTTAAACATCTTCTAGGAAATGGAAAGCTAAATCCTTCAGTGTATACAATCACATCGTTCAGGACTGAACTATCCCAGGGGAGTTTTGGGAAGCTTCTCACCATTGCTCACAGATAGCCATCCCATGGACATTTGTAAATATTTTGAAGATACTCTTTTACAAGGCCATAAAACAAACATTCAAAAAAACCTTTGTTGCAGATTAGTCAATAAAACGGATTTCACCGCAACACTTAATTTTACTACTTCACCTAATGGGTATTGGCTTAAACAATGTTACAAAGAAGGAAAAGAACCTCATAAAGATGGAGAATCCTAAATTGTATGCCTTGGGCAGCTTTTACATAGATGCCTCCAATGACTCAGTCTCCAAATTGTCCCACCTGCCCAGGGCCCAGGAGGCTTTTACAGAAGTCTTAAGAGCCTGTCATGACAGGGGAAAGCCCTTTCCAAGTTCTGAAATCTTCCGCTGGAATGTGGGTTTAGGCAGATCAAAATTAGTGCCATCCAGGGGCGCCTGGGTGGCTTAGTCGGTTAAGCGTCCGACTTTCGCTTAGGTCATGATCTCGNAAAGCATTTAAAAAAATCTTAAAAAAAAAAAATCCATGCGAGCAAGAAGAGAATATAATGAAACGTTTTAAGTGTTGAAAGAAAACCCACCAATTTAGAATGTGATGTTCATAAAAATTATTTTTCAGAAATAAAGAATAAATTGGGGCGCCTGGGTGGCTTAGTCGGCTAAGCGTTCGACTTTCGCTTAGGTCATGATCTCGCGGTTCGTGGGTTCGAGCCCCGCGTCCAGCTCTGTGCTGACTGCCCGCTCAGAGCCTGGAGCCTGTTTCAGAGTCTGTGACTCCCTCTCTCTCTGACTCTCCCCTGCTCACGCTGTCTCTCTCTCTCTCTCTCTCCTAGAAATAAATAAAAACATTAAAAAAAAAAATTAGTGCCATCCAAAGAACGCTGGAGAAGATTTGGCATTAAGAGATCAGAGTCTCAGTCTAGGCTTTGCCTCGCAATCTGATTGGCCGAGATCCCACTCCACTATTCCACCCCCAAGCTGTAGGTAGATCATAGGGCTGTTGGCACCCAACTTGGATACAGACTTAGGACTTCTAAAATAAAGGAGCAGATAGGAAAAATACCTATCACGGGAGCATGATGAAGGTCTTGTCTTCTTGTTTGTATGGTGAGACTGGAAGTCATGGCCAAGAAGGAGAGAAAGCAGGACATCATTTCATTTAACGGTTGTTGCCAGGTTCTTTACTGCAAAGAAGAAAGAAGGAAGGAAGGAAGTTAATTGACATCTAAAACTTTTTCTTTATAGTAAGGACTCCTTTCTCCTTCTTCATTCCTAAACATCATCTCTGACATATTCAGGGGGGCGGGGCTGCTCGGCTCTGCCTAGAGGATCCCGTGTGAACTGCTTGATGCCCAGCTTTGGAGTCTGGGAAGACCAGAACTTCCCATAGGAAAGGTCCTTCTCTTCATCTTTGTGAGAAGCAGGGGAAAAATACTCATCAGTACATTTTTATCTCAAGGAAAAACAGATTGGCTCAGTATATATACATAAAAAAACAAACCTCAAAGGATATTCCAAAGAACGTCTAATATTTTAACGAGATTTAGGCACCAGAGCAGATTAAATAAAAAGCACATCAGTATGTACAAGCCATGTGCAATTCGGTCCAGTCCAGGAAGCACTTGGTGACAGTCTGTAGAGGCGTGAAACAAAGCTTCTTGCAGCTTCCATTCTGCATAACGGAACTTGACATCATTTTGGCCTCTGTTATTGTCAGGCCAATGACCATTGTTAGGCTCCCTTTACCTATAATCCAGTCAACTGTCAGATTAAGTAAAGAATGATTTCAAACTTAAAAGGCAATCAAATCTGACTAAGACACTCATTTTCATAGAAACTTGGGGGCTTTCTCTGTGCTGGAATATTTGGATGACTTGCCACGTCATCGTACCTGCAAGGTTCCCTTCATGGCTGTGATGTCAGCACAGTGAGGAAGACCTGTGTGCAAGAGCGTTTCTTGGCCCCCGGCTCATTACCCCCATCTTTCTTTGCTGCTTTTCCTGCTGCATTGCCTGAAGTCCAGGGTTAGAGGTACCCAGTCTCTCACCTGTGATATAGTTCATGGTTAATTAAATGCCAACATGGACAACGTCTAGCTTTGACTTGCAGAACTGAGGTATTTGTGTGGAGTCTTTCTGATGGGTTTTGTTAAACTATGAAAATAACTTGTGAATGGAATCTTTCTAAAATTAAAGGTGATGACTGTAAAATGAAGGCTCTTTCCTTATTTAAAAGATTATTTTTATATCTAACTCCTTTATTTCCTTATTTGGTAGGGAACCAACCCATATAGGTCCACATATCTGCATGTATTTTCATTCATACTTGGAGCAGATCACACTGGAGATGATTTATTTTATTGTTATTTTATTTTACTTTACTTTATTTTATTTTACTTTGTTTTAGAGAGAGAGAGTGTGTGTGCATGCAAGCTGGAGAGAGATGGCGAGGAGAGAGAATCTCAAGCAGCCTCCATGTTTATCATGGAGCCTGGCTCTCAGGACTCAATCTTAAGACCCTGTGATCATGACCTGAGACATGATCAAGAGTCAGACGCTCCACTGACTAAGCCACCCAGGCGTCCTGAGATGATTTATCAGTGAGGATCTTGGAAGTCCTATAGACTGGACTTAGATTTTCTGTTACAATAAGGTATTTCAAGAGAGTAAATATCTAGGAGGCCTCTTAGGCAAACACTTGAGAAAAATTAACTCTCCTCTTAATGTCTCTGTCCAGTCTGGATATTTAATTATTACATATAGACATACACTTTTACCTTATATGAAGCACTAACTTTCTCACTTAGGATTTCTCTATATTCTTATACATAATATTAGAAGGGCAGAAGCGTGACCCAGGTACACGGTCTTTCCTTGTAATTTTCAAACAATTCTCTTTGAAAGTGATTCTTAAGCTCCAGAATTTTTTTGAAAAGGAATTTAATAATTTGAAAGTTTGTCAGCAGTGAAAGGTAGTATATTTTGACTCACTAATCCAGTAACTAATCAGTTCCCTAATAAACAATCAGCAATTCGCTAACATGTCATCAGCACTTCGTAAGCCCCGGAGAGAGGATGAGCTACCGGTGGACGTTAATGAATACACCAAAAATCATTAGCTGATCAATACTTCTGAGTTATATTCATTGAGTTGATAGGTCTGATACATTAAAGCTGACATTATACATTTGTCAAGATCACAGTGCAGTTTTTAACAGTGGAACAGGCTGCAAAAAATATTCCCCGGAAGACAATCAAAGAAACACAACTTCTTCACCCTGACATGGTCAGCAGGAACGGGAGCCCTGAAAAAATCCAAGTGTGATGGTCAAGTCCCAGGCTCTCAGCATTAAAAAATATACAAGGATCCCCAAAGTGGATGGATGTTTTTTTTTTTTATTATCTCTGTGGCTAGACACTTTGTATACAATGTACTTAAAAAAAAGGAAGAGAGAACTTTCCCCCAGATAATGGGGCATGTGGCACATGACGGAATATTGAGGGCTTTGCCTTGAGAGCTTTGCCACAACCCAGTAGTGCAGGGACCTGAGACCAGTGGCTACATTAGTTAAGAGGGTGACAACAGGGTACCTGGGTGGCTCAGTCAGTTGAGTGTCCCACTTCCGCTCAGGTCATGATCCTACGGTTCATGGGTGCAAGCCCCACGTCAGGCTCTGTGCTGATAGCTCGGAACCTGGAGCCTGCTTCGATTCTGTGTCTCCCTCGCTCTGCTCCTCCCCTGCTCATACTGTCTCTCTCTCTCTCAAAAATAAACATTAAAAATTTTAAAAAGAAAAAGACAGCTGTGTGCAGGGCAGTTCTCCTGAATATCCCTTCCTTCAAATGATTGAGAAGAAGACATGAAGGGCCTGGCTGTAGCAGCCACTGTGCCCTATTGGGTGCTCAGCTGGTGCTCCAGGCAGCTCGCGCACGCAGCGTGGTGACAGGAAGTCACTGTCTAGGCCCAGCTTGCTGCTACAGTTTGCCTGTGAGCATGATCATAGACAGCCAGCCAGGAAGTACCACCACCACAGAAAAACTAGAGCCCCTGTTGGAGAGGTGTGTGTGTGTGTGTGTGTGTGTGTGTGTGTGTGTGTGTGTGTGAGAGAGAGAGAGAGAGAGAGAGAGAGGTGTTTATAGATTGAGTGGCCATCAAGCTAGTAAGTGTGTTTCCCGGGAGATGGATTGAGCTCAGGGTCTCTAGGTTACAATTTCCTTTTTTTGTATTTTTATTTATTTATTTTATTTTACCATTAAGGACAGGAGATATTCTTGCAGCAGGTGCCAGTTTGCTTCTCATCAGACACACCGACCCTTCATTATGGCTCCCAGACACCTTCTTTCTATTGTACCTTCTAGAGGCGTGAACCTCTTGAGCCACATAGACGTTGGTCCATCCTGAATGTTTCTGCCTCCCACCCCACCCGCAAACATTCTTCTTGGCCTCAGTTCGGTCGCTGTGTGATACTTCTGCTCGGAAGCAGCCACCCACCTCCACCCCCTACCGTCGCCACAGACTAATGTAGTGCTTCCTCTGTGCTCCACGTCCAGAGGGGACACAGATCTTTGGCCGCTGCACCATGGGGTGTAGCAGCCCCGATTTTAAATTAGCAGCAGGTGAAATTCTATTTGTCATCAATTTCTCTTTGGGGTTACGGAGCAGAAAACTGCAGACAAGCTGCTGCTTTGATGGCTCACTCCTAAAAATCTCTTTTTGTTCTTTATCTATTTGAACTGACAGTGATCAGAGCTGCAGCAGGACAGGGCTCTCTGGAGAAATCACCTTCCCCCTGCCTATTGACAGATCTCTCTGTTCTGCAGCAGACGGGCTTTGTCCCGTCCCGGGCATCCAGGCCTTGGAAGGAGCCACCAATTAAACCTCTTGAGCCGGTAAAATCTGAAGCCACTTTGGAGTGTCTGTTCTCATTAGGCAGGATGAGAGGAAGCCCATCACCCTGAGGGCCCCGCTCCCCTGTCTCAATTTTCTCTCTTGCCTCCACCAGGTGCGAGAGGTGTGAACGGAGCTTCACGCAGGCCACGCAGCTGAGCCGGCACCAGCGGATGCCCAATGAGTGCAAGCCAATAACTGAGAGCCCAGAATCAATTGAAGTGGATTAACTGATTGACTGGTTGGAATTAAACTGCAAGCAAAGTCATGATTAAATGTCATGGACACTTAAGCAAAACCAAAGATTTCCTCTGAGCAACTTTCAATCAGTCCTGGAAAACCAAAAGCAGTAATAAAATAAGTAAGATGTTAAAGAGATATTGATCCTGGCGTGGAAGTCAGACCAGGAAAGAGATTATTTATTTATGACTAGGGATGAGATGTTTCAGTGGACCACAACCTGGGCCGCGTCACGTTTCTGGTCCCACCGTGTATTTGCTTTGTTTCTAAAAAGCTTTTTTAAACTGTAATTTAATACCAAAGGGAGGAATCGTGTGGGTTCTTCAGTTCACACTTGTGACGAAGAACACACAGGGACTTCTTTCTCGTTGCACCTTTTTTTTTTTAGTAGCATGATTCAAGGGGACCCATGTTGTACAGCCCTCTCGGTCCTGCCATTTGGGTTCGCGTGGCCTGATTCGGCCGCCCCAGTACAACCGGAAGCCGGAGCCTCCGCTCAGTCAGTGCCACCATCAGCCCCGCGGGTGGTCCGTTTCTGTGTTGTCCACGCTCCTTTCCGAGCCCGTCTTTACGCCACTCCTTCCGTCCATCCACCCACCCACCCACCCGGCAGCCCAGCCTTGATGCAGAAGAGCCTTGGAGAGGAAGAAAACGGTTTGGTTTCAGAATTCAAGAGGGGGAAAAAAAAAGCGGGGAACTTATTTCGTCCTGTCAAGATCTCAGAAACATTTAAAATGTACAGAGCTTCATAATTCAGTATATTGTTCCGAAGCAGCTAGTGGAGACGATTTTGTTTTCAATAACATTTTAGCTTAAAAAAAAAACAAAAACAAAAACAAAAAATAAAGTTCTTCGGTATGAAGCCAAAATGTAAGGTCCTAGGCTCCCAGGAATTTTTTTCGTTGTGTCTATGATAGTGTTGAATCCATGAGCGAAAAGGGTGCCTAGCCTCATTGTCAACGCCCTCTGAGGTAGTTTCATCGTCCTTCCTTTTGTAGGTCCTGGGAAACCCCGTTACTCATTACTGAGTGTCAGAGGAGCATTTCTGCAAAAATAAGGGAAAACAGCCCAGACCAGGAAACAATGAGTGGTGGGGACGGGGTTGTGATTAGAATAGACTCCCCGGGTACAGCTCATCTTATCAGTTGGAATTACCTGTTCGTCTCCTCTGGCCCTTGATAGTACTCTTCTCTCGTCGTTAATGTGTCGGAAGAGGAAAGATGGTGCACGTCATTTCACCGCCCTTTGATTGAGTGCAAGGGAAGTGAGCAAACGTCGGGTAGCCTTTTGGCGGTTTGACCCTGGTAACGTCACATTGGGTCCATATCCCGCCAAACGATCCATTCCCAGGAAGAGCCGGTGGCTCCCATGCCCTTGTCTGTTAACTCCTGGCCTCACGGTGGAGGCCAAGTCTACTTTGTAGATTTCTTGATCACATGATGGCAGGACACAGCCTTTTAAGGAATGCTGTCTTTCTGTCTTTTAGCACTCCCAGGGTCTTCCCTTAGCAAAAATACGAGACACAGAACTGGCTGCTGAAAGGCACTCAAATCCGTCCTCATGGATTTGGTTCTCAGAAAGTCTTCCTTTACTTTTCATTTTGCCTTCCTGTCCCTGAGCCCCCACCTGCCATGATTAAACTGGGAGTGCAACCGGGCCTCGTTAATTGTGTTTGTAATTGATTTATATATACATGGTTACGAAACAAAACTGAATCGAGTACACTTGAAGATCTGATGGGCTTTAAGGGATTCATGAACTGGGTCGTGTTCCATCTGGCAGACAGAGAGATCCTTCCAGGATTTGGACTAAGCAGGAGGTTTTTGTATGAAGAGCGCAGGGGGAGGAAGTTGTCAGCAAAAGAAAAGGAAGGATTCTTGCAGGTCAGGACATCTTTTTTTTAGGGGGAAGGGAACTGGCAGGATTTTTATCATGCAGGTTACCTCATTAGTGCTGGTCGGGAAATTGCAGATTGACTCTCAAAAGGTTACATTCGTGCTTTCGGTTGAAATTGTAATCAAGTCTTGGTTGGCTCTTGGCCGGTGGGGGTGGTGGGCAAATGACTCCATTTCAGGCTTATTATTTCTCTTTTTGATAATATATCTGCATCTCAAAATAATCTCTAACATGGCTCCAAAGAGAAGTTTGAACAATTGTGACCTCCATGGTCCCATATGATGTAGACTGTTGCCTCAGTTCTTTCTGGCTCTTTGTCATGGAACTCATAGGCATTCTGTGCTGCTCTGTGACTGTGGCTGATTGAAAGTATTCCCTCTGGTAGATAGGAGTGTGTTTTGTTTCACAGTTCCTTGTCTGAAATGTTGGAGGCATTTGCCAAAAACAGTGTGCCGTTGGGAAGGGTAGAAAGAACACGGAGCCATGTTAACCTGAAACCTATAAGAACACGTCAGATTGGCTGCACAGAGGAGGAAGCTGTTCCATTTATTATTAAAGCTGACATGTTTGGTTGTACATTTTGAGCGTGACAAAAAGGGACTCATCTGTATGTCCCCAACAATTTTTTCAGTGAGGAAAATCGGTGCTGCCATTTTCTGTCTTTCACAATGGAACACACACAATCCTCAGCTCCCAGGGGCTCCACATGCACGATCGAGAAAACATCACTCCTCCCTTGTTATCTGCCATGGGACGTTGCCATGACGGGGGGTCCCCGCCACTCTCAGGGTTTTGCCCCTGACCCCAAATTCCCACTTCATATGGCGGCAGCCTTTTTAATCCGGAAGATTCTAGCTTTCTGCTCCATTGAAACCTATTTTTCTCCTTTTTGGAAAGGGAGATGTTTGGTATGTATTTTCCACCAAACTTGGTTCAGAAGTATTTTGTTTTGAACGAATAGAAAATTGAGGGTGTCCCTAATGTTCACATGGGTGAGCCAATGCCAGCTTCCAGCAGACTAGCCTGGGCTGTCTGTTTGTAAGACAGACCTTCACCTGTAAGTTGACTTGAAGTCCTGAAGCAGGTCCAGATGTTATTTGGGTCCTAAATGCTTTTAATTGAAGTGTGTGCCACGGAGGAGATTTCTCCTTAGTATCTCCTATCTATTGCTTTAGTGTTTCTATTTAAAACTGACAGATACTCAGGATACTGCAAATGGGTGGCAGAAACTGCAGTCATAAAGATTTGCCAGTTTACCAGCTGAATGAATTTAGCAGCTTTCTAATTCATTATAGTGCAAAGAGCATAAGAGCTCTGAATCGCTTGGATTGGGGGAGGCTCTCAGCCGAATCAGTATTTGAGTCCTTAAGCTTTCCGTGATTACCCTCTTCTATCGATGGGGAGCACTTTTTATTTCCAGAATGAGATGTACTATCCTCACACATGCCCATTTGTCTAGCTAAGAGCCTAAGCCAAGGGGAAATGCCAGATGGGGCTGCAAAAGTAACATTTCTAGAAAAATCTCGTAACTGGAACTAAAGCCAAATATTTTCCCCAGGAAATGTGCTTGATTTTTTTCAACCTAACCTTTTTGTTTTAGTTGTTTTTATCTTTCAAAATGACTTTTTTTTTTTAAAGGAGAAGATAGACTTTTACAGAGTTATCGTGTGGATAATTAAAGCTGTAAAACTAAATTTGTATAGTTTATATCATTTGATTCAGTTAGTAAATATTTATTGAATGTCCATTCAAGTGCAGCCTTTTTGGTGGAAAAAGGTTATGTGGATACTGCAACAGGAAAAAGATTATGACACAACTTCTGTCCTCACCAGGCTTACAGTTTATTGTTACAACTGAAAAACTTCATTCTAGTCGAGATATAGAAAGAGTTACTAACATTTTTACCAACTCATCTATTTTTTTCATCAGTTGGTTGGTTCCTGGTGTCATTCATTTACTCAGCAAATACTTTGTGAACTTTTAGTTTGAAGAAGCCTTTTTAAAAATTATTTTAAATGTATTTTGAGAGAGAGAGCATGAGCACGAGTTGGAGAGGGACAGAGAAAGAGAGAGAGAGAGGGAATCCTAAGCAGGCTCCATGCTGTCAGTTAGCATGGGGCTCGATCCCACGAACTGTAAGATCATGACTTGAGCCAAAGTCAGATGCTTAACCGACTGAGCCACCCAGCTGCCCCAGTGAACTCTTTCTTTTCTTTTCTTTCCTTTTTTTTTTTTTGTATAAAGGGCCCCTTTTAGGTGTTGTTCACTCTAAGGGGCCATATTGAAGTGATTATTGGTGAGAAAATTTTATTCTCTTCGCAAGTGGCTGGCTAGTAGCATGGGGACTTGAGTCCTTGATGCTGTTATTTTAGTGAAGTCACAGAAGTTGTCCCAATTACAAGACTCAAAGAGATATAAGTGCAGCTAGGGACCAGAAGTCTTAATTAATCAAAACCAATTAAGATGAGCCACTACATGGTCTTCGGTTGACCCACTGGGCTACTTAGCGTCTGTATCAATGTACCAGGACTGGAGGCAGGGTGTTAGAGTTTTTATGACTCTCTTACAGGGATAAGGCAGCAAATCCGGGCTGGAGTTGGTCAGGCAGGGAACTCTGAAGCCCCTGCGTGTGTCTGAGCAGCCTCATTGGTGACGAGACATAGCAATACAGCCCTTGTCTCCACTGTGTGGCTGTGGTGCTTTCAGAGATGAGGACCCCTAAATGGTACCCAGGTGTCTCAGTACGTCAACGTGGATATTCACCTTTGGTTTCAGAAGAATAGTAGTTGGGTTAAATTTGTTTGGGGACCTCACTATCAAGCTCTTCATGACACTGAAACTAGATCTTTCTCTAGTGGCACCACTTTCCCAGGCCTGGGGTCTCTGGTGCATCGTCGCGAAACTCATTGCTAGTAATTGGTTGTCAGAGTTGTTCCTGCGAGGAGCTAATATTTCCTTGAGGTTCGTGGGAGAAGTAGCGTCATTCCTGTTGTAAGTGTGCATTGCTTTAAAAAACGAAACACAAGTATCTGTTGCATTGTTTAACATGGAAAACAGGATCCGTCTAAAAGAGCAGGGCATTTCCAGAACAGCCTGAGTTCACTGGGTCACTCGGAGCGGGCCCAGGCAGCCTTGTGTTTTTGGAGCGAATCTGTCATTCTCTCGTTAAGACTATGTTTGCCTGCAGGAATCGGGCACATAACCACACACTGTCAGAAAAGTTCGTTTCTGTCTTCCTTCCTCCGTGTGCATTTAGTTTTATCTCCCATAACCTTTACCAGTTCCTGACATCAAATCCTGAAAGGTCCTGAGACCCTGAGAGATGTGCTTCTCTGAGTGATAACAGCGCATTCCAGAAATGTCATTCATGTGTCAGGAGCCTTTCAAGGCTAAGATGTTCGGAGGCATTTTATGAAGTGACTGGATGTTTGGATACTTATCCACCCAAGACTGTGAGGTTTCTCCATCACTAATACTTATCTGAGCTACTACCAAATAACAACATAGAGTCCTGGGAAGAGCCACATTTCAGACCTTCTCAAGATTAAATTCTCCAAACCCAGTGATCAGCTGTCAGGAACAACTGGTCAGGGAAGAAGGCTTTTGCTTTACTTGTGGAAGCCTTGTGTCAGACGTTTAGCTGTAATTTATGGTCCTGTTTAGCAATGAGAGTATTTATTTAGTTTCTTCTTTTAAGTAATCGGTGTCGGATAGTTCATCGGGTCAATATAAAAGACAATAAAAAATATGTCAGAAAACAGAGCAGAGATGTAAAACTATTGAATTATCTTCCCTCTGTATTGGGAGGCTACTGTTGTACTTAGAGAAGAATCTGTTGAGTACATTTTAAAAGGAAAATAAAATGAGTGGGGCACCTGGGTGTCATTCGATGAAGCAGCCGACTTTGGCTCGAACCACGATCTCACAGTTCGTCAGT